GTTATAGTCCTGATAAATATAGTATGTGGCGTGAGTTATGTTCTAGAACTAGAGAAAAGTTAACCGATCCATATTTGAGAGCAGCATTTGCTTTTTTAACATCAGAAACAGAATCACATGACGCTGTTCTAGTGAATATTTAATTTCTTAAATTTAATATTTATCTTTCAGTTTGTGTATCAATATTTTTTCAGAACGAAGTTGGTATACCATTAGAAGACAGAATAGCCTTTGCTTCAATTTTTTTATCAGATATAAAATTAACTGAGTATATTAACACAATTACCGATAAATTGTTGGATCAAGGAAATTTAACAGCAATTTTTTTAACAGGTAAAATTTCAAAATTATTTTAAATGGAAAAAACACTAAATAGTAATCATCGAGTACCTCATAATTATGTAAGGGACTATTAGTATATTGTATGTATTAAAATTGATTAACAAGAAAAATAATTGTATATGATTAATGTCTATGATCAAGGCGTTCTGTCAGCCTAATGCCTATATTACTAAGTTTATTTCACTAAATTTAGTTTAAAATAATTTATTTTATGGTTAGTTGATTTAATTTTTCCCAAAAATATTATATTTAAWTAGTATAAAATTTTTATAATAATGTTATACACTTATACATAATATACCTTACCATAAAACAATGTGAATAAGTTCATAATAAGCTTAATAGTTAAAATAAATCTAGATATTTTGAAAATATCATTAGGGCTCGATATGTAATGCACATAAAAAGTACTAAATATGCATGCACTTATGCGTTTAAAAAAGTAGAAATATGCACTTTTATTTTATTTTTTCTACAAAATGTTAATTTGCACAAAATTTTCGTAAAATTATAAATATAAAAAAGGAAAGTAATATATACCATATTCAAATAGAAAACTATTTAAACGATTTGTCGCAGATTGTTTGGTTTTCGACATAATGAAATAAAAAAAAATATAGGTTGAAGCAAGAATAATGAAGTTTAAAACTACAGCTAGGGCAGTAGGTCTATTTATGACATAAAAAATAATCATTGAATTATTTTACTAGAAAAGTATTTATAGAAAATCGTTGTATTTTGACATCAGTTGTTCCTATTTTAGATATTTTGTGTATTATTCTATTTCAGATAAATCTAGTTATAATTATAATATATTAATCTATCTACATTATATTAATCTAAAGGGAAAATATTGTTTTTAATGTCAAATGGAAATTTGAGAAATATGATACAAGAATATATAGTTACTACTAGTAAATTCTCTCAATATATAAATGTATTAATTTTTTTTATTTAGGAATTTTTACTCTGAATCTTCATAATGATTAAATGTTCTAAAAAAATTGCAAAATTAAGATATAAGCTCTAAAATCTAAAAATCACTTAAATATGCTCTGTAAACATTTGATATGATTTTCAAAGTGTCTCACAATACATTTCTATCTCACTTAGCAATAATTCTGTTTCAAAAAAAATATGCAAATGCAACGACTCTCGAGCCCTAGTGTGTAACAGTTCCAGGTCCCCAAGATATATTTTAATTACAAAAAAATAACTAAAATTGTTCATCTTTATTTAAATATTTAAATTTGTATACAAAAAAGGGGCAAATAGTTACTCTTTTGTGGAGTATGGATCGAGTATACCTAGTCAGGGAAAATTTGATTTTACCATAGATGTAGAAATTTTGAATTCAATGATAAATCTCAGCGTAAGCAAAAACAGTGTCTGAGAGTTGTTGGTCTGTCAGTGTCGGCCTATTGCTATTRAATATTATACTAATTTATTTATTTGGTATAAACTATAAATAGGTGACAATAGTATGCAATAACAACTGTAATGTATATAAACATACAATTTTGATTACCTTTGTACTTCAGATAGAGGACAATGTAAAAATGAATTTTCTATTTTTTGGCGATATTATGAACTACTCATTACATTTTTTATCCTAGATAGTATTATCTTAAATTTTGAGCCTTAACTATGCAATACACATTGAATTACTCTACATTTTAAATTATTCACAATTATAAAGAAAAGTATTCAGAAGTTATTGATATTTATTGATTTAGCATTCTAAGAAAAGAAATATAAATATTGGTAAAATAAATACAATTATTCATAATTTAAAATGATTTTTTTTTTTTTGCATTATTAGGTTCTTCTCCAGATGTAGTTCCATTATTACAAAGATATTTAGATAGTACAGGAGATATTCAGACTGTTAGTATATTAGTATTAAAAACAATCCCTAGTGAAATTGTTCATGAAAATGCAGTAATGATGAGTTGGATCAATAGGTATGAAATAATATTTAGATTTAAGAGGACGTSATACCCGCATRTGTTGTCTCCGTCTTACAAATGCGTAACATGGTACATTTTTCGCTCAGCAGAACACGTGTAGCTCTGTTATACTTAAAAATTAGAGTGAATTCACCTCTTATAAAATTTAAAGATAATATTATTATCTAGACAACCTCATATGCTTTTTATTTTATATTAAATTTAAAGCGAGTWATGAGTATTTTAAAMTTGTAAATTTTTTGTGCATCTTAAAATACTCATAACTTCCTTTAAAATTTAAATAAAATAAAAAGCATATGAGGTTGTCTAGATAACAATCATACCTTTAAATTTTATAAGAG